ATTTCCTCCATCCACCGTAGTACTAGTACTACTACTACTACTACTACTACTACTCCTACTACTACCGCCGCCGCCGCCGCCGCCGCCACCACCACCACCACCACGACCACGGCCACTGCCACTGCCACTGCCACTACCACTACCACTACCACCACTACTACTTCTGCTACTACGACTACTACTACTACTACCACCACCACCACCACCACCACCACCTAGTAATATTGAGATCCTGGTCACTGTGTGGGTGCAGCTCGAGACGGGCGGTTGGCAGCATCAGGTTGGGCGGCAGCGAGTTGTGCCGTTCTGTTGATGGGTTCAGGTCTGGAGCCCTCCAGCCTTTTTTTTAGGCAGGTTCGGTCAGTCGGTCCCTGCGACTTGCGCGTGCCTCTCAGGTGCAATTGCAAAATGCTGAAACTTACCACCGCCTCTGTAGCTCTGAACTTCATCTCAGGCGGCTGCTGTGTCGTTGGCAATGTGGACGGCCTCCTCGAGGGCAAAATCGGGACGGTATATTGAATGAGGTTAGAGAGGACCGTGTTGAATGAGGTTAGAGAGACCACGGTCCTCTTCAGTGCCGTATGGGATGATCGACAGGACTGGGCCAAAGATCTCCTCCTGTGCGATGGTCATCTTGCTGTCAACCTCAAGCGGAGACTGTAACCCAGAGGCCAAATCGCAAGAAGTGCCGAAACTCTGCAGCTCCTGCTTCCGCAAAGCTGCGCGCTCTTTATCTGATCAGGTGTATGTCGGTGCATGCAACACCAGACTTTGATTGTCGCCCCTTCTGCTACAACCACTATACATCTGGTCTGCCAGGTGATCGACTTTATCGTATTCAGCCTTTGCAGGTCTGTGAATTCAGCTCCTGGGCAGTGCAACATGTTGCGTCACGCATGCCCGCAAAACCTGCATGTGGCGGAGAGGCTTCGTGCAATAGACGTGTGCAAAGTCTCTTACCGCAAGCAACAGTTGCCTATGCTTATCGTGTCTCCCTTCCGTACCTGCCTTCCACTGCAATACTATTCATCCCTTAGAGGCGAGTCCTTGCACACTCCTCCAAGCGAATTTGATGCACGTGGAGGCACATCGCACGCCATGCTGTTTCCTGACTCCAGGACCATGGAGAAGGCATGGTCTTTTTACACCCCATTCCAGTCGCAATTAGGAAACGGCATGGGGCATGGGCAGCAAGCTGGACTAGCTGATGCCATGTCGCGCGTCTGCCTGTCATTAACAAATTCGCTCCTCACTTGGAAAAAATGTTCAGGGGTGCCGTCAGCAACAAGGAATACCAGCAACATCCAGTGGCTGTAATAATGCGTGTGGAATGATGTACACATTCACGACAAATCATCGACACGCTTCAACCTCCGCAAGCATCACAATTCCCCCTTAATGTGGGCAACACCGACGCGAGGCAGCAGAAACGGCGAACTATGATCGACCGGCATAGAGGGATAGTCCGCTTTCGGTGATCCAAGTACTGGTCACCTGTCGGATGGACTCTGCACCTCAAGGGCATGCCTGCCTGATGGCCCAAGGGCTGTCCAGGAATTGGCAGCTGGATGGCGTGGGAGGCTTCCCTACTCCTCCCTGCACCAAACGGCCGCGATGCAGTCGCGCACCCGCATCCGGTTGGTAAGATCCCACCGTTGATGCGATACCAGGAAGACTACTACAGACGTGCAAAGATCGAAGCAGCTGGACAGCACAGGCATGGGGCCGCCCCGACCCGACATGGGGGACCCTGTTGCAACTATGAGATTCGATCCGTCTCTGCAATACACACACTCAGCGTTGCGATAAGCAGAAACTGGAATGTTGCGAGCAGCATTTGCTGTCCGACTGTCCTGCCCAGGGCATCCGAAGATTCTTTCTTGTGAGAAAGCTCAGGGCTGGCATGCTAAAAAAATCCAGGAGTAGCTAGCCATATCCCTTGCCAGACTCCAGATTCACGGCTGTTGAACGCTGCATCGGCATGCAGCAGCCGCGGTCTGTACTTCAATGCATATAGACATACAGGGCAATCAGCACAAGCAGCTGTGCAGATTGAAGTACTTAAACAAACAGATCAGGAGGCTATGTATACCTGAAACGGAATGACTTTGATGATGGGCCTATGTGATTTGCGTCTCCTATTCGCTCTCCATCTACTGCTGGGCCCATCACCGTCACCGGATCATGTGCAGACAGCCGAAACATCTTCGCAGCACATGCCGACAAACAGTACCAACAATACTTAGGAGGTCTGAGGTGAGCGGTTCTCAAGCCCCACTCCAGACCAGCACGTGAATGATGTTTGCAGTTGCCCGCCGCTGGGGTGCAGCTGTGCTAGCGCGACAAGGAATCGCAGCAGTCCCCTGAGACCTTGAAAGCTTGTGCTCGTGCACAGCCGCACCCCCTGGTCTCATAAGTTGAGATGATTAAATGATACACGGTCAATTTTGGCCTTCCACGTTCGCCCAGACACATGAGCCCGGTGTCTTTGAGGCTCGAATTCGCTTCTGCAAATCTTATCAATCTTGCGTTCGGAGCCCAGTCAAGTGGGAATCATGATGACGACCCACTAGTATCCCAGTTCATGCTTCTGGCATCTAGGTTCCATGCTTTGGTGCACTTGCTCGGCTCGGAGGCTTCCTGGCTATGGCTATGCTGACCTTGACAAGGCTCCACTGCAAACATCAGAAGGGACTTGCACCATAGGATGACAGGGTTAGAACTGCAACTGTGAAGAGACACTATGTTCTATTTTTGAAGCGTCTTCCCTTCCCTCCCGGGACAACTCACACTAGTCGCAAGGGCAGTCTGGAGCATATCCATCTTCTTGATCACTGAACCCTCCAGGATTCCACCAATCCAGCTCCTCATCACCTCAGTTCGATTAAAGTACACAAATGGGGAGCCTCACCTAGAAAATCCAACTCAGCCGGGGTGCCTTCTGTATCTGACAGACAATCCTCAGAGCGCTTCGCGGTGTGCCGGCATAGTACTGGAGAGCACGAAGCTACATGGCCGCAAGCCGAACCGAGAAGTTCATTACCAGTAGTACTTACTATCGGTATATATATATACTATATTACATATATTATACTATATATTGTATATTATACTTTATATACATTATACTAGACTATATAACATACATATATATGCATGTGTGTATATATGTATATATATATATATATGCTCAGGCCCAGGCTTCATTGTCACAGAGGTTGTCATCGTGACACGTCTTCAGCGGAAGCCCGGCCTGCCGAGGAAACTTTGGGTGCTCGTGGCACAAAACGGATGCAAACTGGGCTTGTTTTTTGTTTTGAGCACTTTTTTCCGCGTTTACGAGTTTAGGGTTTAGGGCTTAGCTCCTTAACAAGCAACCAGCAAAGCATCTGAGAAGAGTTCCAAGAAACCGGCTGACAGAACGTCCGGGTCTACATATTCGAAGGCAATGGCAATGGTTTCTCCGCGAAAGGGCTTGGAACACATATGTGGGACACTTGTTTCGTGTGGAGAACTCTTGCAACCAACCATTTACGTGCTTCTGTGCAAAGGCTGCGGACAACTTATGCGCTCTCCTCTGCTTTTGCCGGCGAGTGCTCACTACCTAGGACTACCTACGATGAGTGATCGCATCTGCTTCTGCTGAATACTGCAGCTGCTCCATTCTTACGACTTTGCAACAGGTTGACAGAGCCATAAAGCCGATGCGACACACAACAAGACTGGGCATGCGGGAGTGGTTTCACGTCTCGCAAGGCCTCATTGAAAACAGCTGGAGTAGAGTAGTAGTGGTAGAAGTAGTAGTAGTAGTAGTAGTAGTAGCAGCAGCAGCAGCAGCAGCAGGAGCAGTGGTACTGTGGACTAGGGACATGTACATTCTAGTAAGTTCGGGCGAACGGGCTAGTCCCACCCATGAAATGGTGCAACCGGTCAGAGTACGAAATAGGTAGAGCATAGCTAGCTTCCTTTACTAGAGCAGGGGCCTGCATCTCGCTGCCATCACATGTGGCGAGAGGAACAGGACACCTCAGCACGGTTGTCTCCTCGACTTCTCAACATCTTTACCGTTGAAACTCTGGCAGCAGGAAGCTGAGAAGCTGGCATGAGAGGTACCTGTGGATCCCAGGCTGCCTTTGCAAGGGGCAATGCCAGGATGGGAGGTGCTAGCAGGGTGCGCAGCACGCCCGGGCCTTGCTTGTCGTCCCCATGACCAGCATGTTTAGCATGTCCGAAGGGATTTTGGCCTGCAGGGCTAAAAACTCCAGCAAGCCGGCAGGATTCGCTGTCGGCAGGCCTCGTGCACGACCCCAGTCAGCAGGTAGGCGCATGCTACCTCGGAAGTGCTGCGTGCTGCGTTCACAAAGTTGCCGGAGGCTTCCCTGCAAGCTCTCAGGATGCAGACATGATGGCCATAGTCGGCGCTTCGCAGGTACATGGCCTGCGTCTTGAAGTTTCGGAACAAGCAGCCAAGTCAAAGGTCTCGTTCTGAACACGGAAATGCTAGCCACGGCTGTCATCAAACCTCAAGAGACCCGAATAGAATGCAGGTCGCCTCGCAGCTAGGAGTAACCACAAGATCCACAAGCCACTAGCAATTCGACAGATTGGCGTCCTTTCGTGTTCTCTGCTCCTAAAACGCTGTACGCACACTGATCTGAGATGAGCAGATGTAGCAGCGGGGTGTTTGCAGGACATCGAGCTCAGACACCTCCAACTGTGGTCGTGCTGCCTCGCTGGGCTCGAGAACGGCGTTGTGGCCGGCCATGACAACTGCTTCCATCTGTACCTTCAGAGCCGTTGTTGAAAGCACTGCACGATGTCCTGCAAAAGCTTGCTTGGGTTTGACTTTCTGAGGTCGTGGCAGGAAATGCGCCGGTGGCGAGATGGAGAGGGAGATTTAAAGCCAAAGGCTGCGGGGCAGAAGCATGTCCTGTCGACTTCGGAGAGCAAACAAGAGGTCGCCATCAAACTGCCAAGGCCGGCGCATCCGCAAACACAGTCGGCTTGACCTCAGGCTTACTATGGTGTGGGGCTTCGGGGGATGGGATTGGCCAGCATCCGAGGGCCTAGAAGGCTTTGGGACCGCACGAAAAAACCGTCAGATAGGCCGTCCGGCTTGCCAGATCCCCCAGTGACCAACCGGGCACCCTCCTGCAATATCACCGCCAGCAAATCACCAAGCTTTACCAAGCCGCCTTCACCACTGTGATTTCCACGTCTTTAGACTTGCACCTTGATTCCGCTGTCGATGTAACCCTGCACCTTGTCCCACTGCCTGGGCCAGGCTAGAGCCATGTTCGGCTTGTCCCACTGTCAGGGGCAGCTGAGCGAGCTACGCTTGGGAGGCCAAGGGCCCAATCGATGCCTTCGGGGCAGCGGGCCGCATGTCTAGGCGAAGCAGCACCAACAGCAGCAGCGGCAGCAATAATTGCAGTAGCATGGCAGCAGCAACAGCAACAGCAGGAGCAACGGGGCGACAAATCCGACCCCCGACTGAATTCCAAGAGGCTACCAAACGGACTTTCTTTGAGTGGTATGAAAGCGCTTCGTCCGGGTCCGTCGCAATCGCCAGATCAAGGCTGGCTTCCGCCCTCAAAAACCGGCGACAGAAGCAAATGTCGCCAAGTTAGCCGCCGACCACAACGCCTCAGCCGCGTTTGGCGCTGTGGCAATAGGCACACTCATGGTCAGCATGCCGACCAAGATCGGCGTCGTCTCCCCGTCGAAAAAGGACAGGACGGAGGCATCGAGCCGGGAGCCCCTTGCAACCGGATTCGGTGCAGGGGTGGGCGCACCACCCAGCGCACCAAGCCTCGCCTGCAATATGTTCTGGCAGACGTCCCCCCCGGACATTGGTGGGTAACCGCCGGACGAAATAGTATGCCGCTGAGGTCGAGGCAGGAACCAAGACGCCGGCAGCACCCGGGCCGACGTTGTGCTCCATGTCTTCCATCTGGTCCAGAGTGGCGACGGAAAGCGCCGCCAGCCCTGCTGGCAGGGCCTCCGTCGAGTGTGCGCCGCAGCGCTCCATCGCCACCACGTGTTTGCGGTAGGCCTGCGAACAAAGCGTACGACGGATGTTGGCGATCCGCCGATACTCTGCATCATTGCGGCGCCGCTCGTCTGCCGACGCGCTCTTGGGCAACTTCAACGGAAGCTGCGGGAAGCCGTCACCGGTAACAGGGTTAACGTCCGAGCAAAGTGCCTGGACGGTTTCAGAATTGAAGATGGACTTTTGGTTACTTTGACTGTTTTTGCTTTTTCTGTCGAACTATGGCATACTGTGACAAAGTGGACATTCTCTTTTAACCTCACGTTATTCACGTTTTGCTTCACACTGTGCATAACTCCCCGCATCCTGTTCTTTACAACACATGGTGCAATCTGTTCCCCGCATCCTATAATTTACACAGGATGCTCGCTGCGCGAGCCCTATTCAGAAGCTGCTTAAGCCGAAGCTGTAAATTCCAGCAATTGCGATTTTTCAATAGCTTGAACCGATGTGATAATGTTGTCACTTGGAGCATCTTTGCATGTTCACACGCGAAGATGTTTCCTGAACACGTTCGTCATGTATCTTTAACATGCCCGCTCATTTGGCGATTCCGTGTCATTATATATTTTCAACACACCCCCTCATTTGGTGCTGTTTAGCAGAAGGCTTATGGGGGCTTGCGATGACGATTCTGATTCATCACATATCTTAGGCACGCCCGTGCATTTGGCGATTCCGGTTCATCATTTCGGTTCATCATATATCTTGGCACGCTCCCTCATTTCGCGATTCCGGTTTATCACATCCCTTAAACACCCCTCCACATTTGGCGATTCCGGGACATCAAAAATCTTGAGCACACCCACTCGTTTGGCGACTCCAGGGCATCATATCTCTTAATCACCCATCCACAATTGGCGATTCCGGAACATCAATAATCTTGAGCACGCCCGCTCGTTTGGCGACCCGTAGTAGTAGTAGTAGTAGTAGTAGTAGCAGTAGTAGTAGTAGCAGTAGTAGGTAGCAGTAGCAGTAGTAGGAGTAAGAGTAGGAGTAGTAGCAGTAGTGCCAGTAGTAGTCCTAGTAGTCGTAGTAGTAGTAGTAGTAGTAGTAGTCGTCGTCGTCGTCGTAGTCGTACTCGTACTCGTAGTCGTACTACTACTACTACTACTACTACTACTACTACTGGTACTGGTACTGGTACTGGTACTACTAGTA